GTGAAGAGTGCAAAAATACTGACTCCTGGATATTCCAGGGTTGGGATCAGGTGCATAAGAGGAGGAAACAGCCTCTGTCGACGAGGCACAAAGGTGAGCTCATGGGCCCTTTATATTGATCAGAAAGACAGAGCACTCCATAATCAAGTTCAGTATTAAATAAGGTCCAACAATTTGCAGGAAAAAAAGTCAGCCAATCGAATCGACAAATGAATGAAAGTAATGTTTACTTATATATTGTTGATGTATATCTATATATCGAGTTGAAGGTAATTTTTTAAAAAAAATAAATTCTGTTTCATAGGAATATAAAAACAGATCAGCTAATAATCATCACAATTAATGCCTATTGGTCATTGGACTCCCAAAGTGTGTTGCAAGATACGGTCTGATCTGAAATCTAAAATGTTGTCAATGAGGAATTCCAGCATTCTTTTGTATGGCACGTCCAATTCACAAAAATGAGCTAAACATAGTTTAACAGTCGATAAACTAGGTTTATCGGTTGTAAACTATAGTTTACGGACTGTAAACTATAGTTAACAACGTTAATCTATATTTTACATCTGTAAACCATAGTTAACGCGATAATCTATGTTTCACAACCGTAAACTATACTTAACACTGAAAACAATCATTTGCGATTGCAAAACATAGATTATCTGATAAATACAGTTTCACGATTTGTAAACTATAGTTTACAAACCGTTAACTATAGTTAACGATCTGATAAATATAGTTTCACGATTTGTGAAACTATGATTAACAACTCTTAATTATAGTTTACGATTGTAAACTATAGTTTACAAACGTGAATCTATGTTTATCAACAAAATCTATTGTTAACACTTATTACAGACAGATAAACTTTGATTAGCATTCGTAAGCTATAGTTTACAACTGTTAAATATAGTTTTACAGATGAAAACTATAGTTAACGAATCGTTAACGATAGTTTACAGTTTGTAAACTATAGTTTACAGTTGATAAACTTAGTTTATCAATTGTGAAACTAGGTTTAGCTCATTTTTGTGAATTTGGCGTGCCATACTTTTGATATTAACTTCAGAGTACACAGTGTACTTGTGTGTAGAATCAGAATGGGTGGTGGTATATTGTGGACTTCGAGTGTTAGTGCAAGAAATTTGTTGAACAGACCAGTAGCAACAGTTGCAAATGAAACACTTATTATATAATAAATGAATTAACTGACAATTGGAGATTCATAGCCATGCAAGATTAAACACAAGCATGATTCACTGTGTACCATCCAGTTCTGAGGCCAATGTAACCTACTTTTGGGTTATATGTACCACTCCCCAAAGGTCCATAAACCATTGGTTCCATGACTCTCTCAAAGCAAGATCCAAAACAGAATTATTTTTTGTTCTTTATTATTAAATAGATAAATAAAAGTAGGTGTTAAAAACCATAAATTTCTAATAAATAACATACCTTTTTTAGGGCATTCAAAATATTGCACATGAAAACAAATCATGATAAATAGAATCATGTAAATGTATGACAAAGAACTACAGAAATTCAAAAAAAAAAAAATCAGAGGAAAATATTGCACTTCATCACAGTAAACTCACAAAAGGGTTAATACAATTCAACATGAAGATTGTCAAAAGCTTTAAAATTTTAAAACAAATGAGACAAAAATATCAAAGGGTAAATTCTCCAACAAACTTCACATACCATGTGAGACAAAAACCACATCAATTTAACATTCACTCCTTATTTCTTGTCTGTCAGTCTTTTCAACATACATATACACATCACTTAATTACTGCTCAGTATAAAGTTAATACAGAATCTCTTCCACTCTCTTCCAGATTTAACTTCTGCATTATGGTACACAAAAGCAGAACTCAGTAATTATAAAACGTTCAGATGCTTGTCATAACACAAAGAAAAAAGGTGCAGAATACAAAAAGGATCACAAAATACTGTATCTCCCTATATGTGTACATCCCAATATTGATATCAAAGAAGCATGATCAGGGACTTGCATCTGAAGTCAGTGATAAGTCAGTGACAAGTCAGTGATAATTCAGTGACAAGTCAGTGATAATTCCTAAGAGTAGACAGTCAGCTGTTCAGCTCTTGTCCCCCTCGTCTTCGTATTGCTTTCTGAAGCAGTCTCCCACAGGGAAGAAGTCCCAGGATCTCTGCTGATAGAGCTCCCACACATAGGATTCCTGGCCTGTGTACTCTGTGTCAGGCTTGTTAATCAGGTGCATCAGGAAAAACCTAATGGGAAAATCTTAAACTTAAGCAATACAAAATCTATACTTTTACATATATATTACATAGAACTTAAAAAATGCCTGTCTAGATTTACGGAACACTTCTAGTATACCGGTCCCCATAAATATGGCGCTAAAATAGGTGTACAATATATAGACGATCGCGTGAGCGACGACAAAATCGAAAAAGGAGCCACAAATTGCAAATTTGACTCCAAATTCGTGTTCCTTGTGAAAAATTGGGTTTAAAAAACTGGTTTTTAAACACAGTTTTTTAAATGAGAATTAAAAGATTTCGTAAAATAACGTACTTGTTTAGGAAGTAAATCTTCATCTTGCGTTGTTTAGGAATGTAGTCACATGATCAATTTTTGACGTAATCTCATAAATATTCATGAGATGCATCACTTGTATTTTGATGTAATGAAGAAATGCCTGATAGGACTCAAAGTGCAATGCTATTAAAATTGCGTGATTTGTGTGAGAAATACAGGGATTTAACAAATGTTAGCTAATTACTAGTCATCGATGGATTGAATTGTGCATCATTATCGATTTGAAAAGAAAAATATTCTGAATATTTGGACATGATTGGGAGGTCAGGATATCGAGCTGCAGTTGACGGTAAGTCGCTTTTACAATAACTTGCCTAAACTCAGCGCTGAAAATCGTAATGTTTCGACAATGGAGTTGATTTTCCCGAACTTTCATTTCTTAAACTTTCGTGTTCTTTGTAAAGCAAAAATTTCATGAACTAAACCAAAGTGTAAGATATCGGCACGATTCAACAGGCTGATTCATGCAAGTTTTTGGTCACAAAAGTCATAGTGCCTTTTGTAAGCAAAAATTACATAAATTAGCCCAAATCAGAAAGATTACAGAGTGGATTTATAAAACAACCCCAATTTTAAAAACTATATATCCTAACCCTAATCACTCAATCGGATGCGTTTTGTTGAAGAGAGTGGGAAATCGTGGTTTGTTTACATTCTGCATAGCAACGGCAAGGGAAATAACTGCTCATGCGAAATCGCGTGTTTCTGGGGACCGGCATACTAGAAACTTCCCAGATTTACTTGTACTAAAAGTTAACTATGTTCACATTCAAAATGGCATGAAAATATTGTTTTATAGTTACTGCTAGCAAAGGAATCCTGAAATATTTGAGAAAACACATGAAATAAAATTAGGAATACTGACAAAAGAAATTCAACTTACATGTAATTGGCAAAATTATGTTCTTTCATGACATGGGTTTCAAAACCATGAGGGACTTTATCAAAATACTCTTTTCCAATACCACAGATGAAGCATTTAGACTGAAAAATAAATATGTTCAAAATGTAATGATCTTAAATAAAATGCCAGAACTCTTTCAAAACAAGTGACCACTGTTTGGTAGATGTTCTTACCTCCATATCTTCTTTTACTTGTTCAAGTTGATCTCTCAGTTCTCCAAAGGCATCAATAATCAAACCTGTAGGAATAACATACACCAGTAATTTAACCTGTGGTAAAATTATCTGCTGGTATCAATAATCAAATCTTTAGTAATACAGTGAATAATAAAACAACACAACTCATTTTCAATTTTATAACAACCACTGACTGCAGTGTGTGATACATGGCTTCCAACTACCGTAATTTTCGAGTTATAGGTCAATGGGGTATATAGGTCGAAAGGCTCATTTTCAGCCTTAATTTTTGAAAAATCCTAAGATAGGACGAACTTACTATATAGTACGAGGCTTTGTTTCCCGTTTTCTAAACTTACGCAGATACAACGTATCAGAACAGGTAAACCTCTAAAATTACCGGGGCAATTCCGTGACATGAAGGTATCAAGAAAACAAACAAGTATTTTAATGAGTACAGCATTTAAATAAAGTTTATAAAAAAATGTAGTTAAAACTTCTTTGAATTGTGTTACTACTTTTTTTTCTCCAACTTGCCTGTTCAATGCCTCCGTAGATTCATACTGTTGTTAAACCAGAGGCAAAAATAACACGTAAATACGTTTCTTATTTTAAGCTATAATTCGGGAAATACCCGAGATCAAAGAATAATAATTCTGATTTCAGAACAACTTGGACACATTCCTAATATAGTTTATTCAGTTAGTTATTTACCGGTGGACGACAATTGCTTCGATGTCCGCCATTTTCATTTTTGTTCTTCAGGGATTTGCTAAAACCCGCAAACGACCATTGAATGTATATAAAGCAACAGTAAAGAATTGAAATAATATTACCACGCTGTAAGTTTAATTTATAAATTTAACTGAGAGTACCGGTGGCGGTACATCCACAATTTGACAGTCATTATGAATTTCATGGCTTAACGCTTTGTTTGTTCAATGATGTGTGACACTAATACCCTATAACGGCACATGGATTTGCTAATCATGCCCTGCGGGTATTAATCCAACACAGGTGTTGAAACCTTTGCGTGTACACAGTGTAAATCCTTTTATCTGTCAGACAATTAAAATTTGTTAGAAGCCAATCTTTGTATGGCGGTAATTTAGTGTACTTCTTGTGTACGAAGAATCTTTTAATAAAACTTATAATATCAGTTAAAATTATATTTCTGTCTTAAATCATATTTCTGTAACCTGCATTTATTACTAATTCTTTGCTTGTAAAACTACATATCAATAAAATTAATTTTTTATCATCCGCATGTATATTTCCATAATTGCTTGTAAAACTTCAAACTATCTTTCAAAACGATTTTTAGGAATTGACTGGCAACAATTTATTTCACTCATTTTACATTAAAATAAATATAAGACTTAAACAATAGAAAAATTAATACTATTTCAATTTATCAATCTACTAATTAATGGTAAAACACTACACTTGTGATCTTGAAATATTTTCCGTATTTTAAATTTTGATACGGTTGCGGTTTTACTTTTAGTAAACGATAGCGACTTCCTAAATACACAAGATGGCTACAGCATGATGGCAATGGAATAACACGTTGAGAAATTATTAAACTTGACGAAGCACAGTTTTTTCCTTTGTCATCAACGGATATTTAATGGAATTTATTTTGTAAGAAAGCTATAGAATAAATATTTTATTGTTTACCAAGGCATTAATTTTTCTGCGTAAAATAATGAAAAAAGTTATAAAAGTGGCACAGATTTGCTCTGAAATTTACGTAAATGTTATTGATTTGGGGGCATTTTTCGTAAACTTGAGCCTTAGAAAGGTCGAATTCATATATTGGGCGACCCAGCGGTTCTGGAGAAAAAAAGTATCGACCTATAACCCGAAAAATTACGGTAGCTTGGCTCTCGGCAAGCCAGAGGCATCAGGCTCAATCCCAAGGGGAGGCATAACCTGTCTCTGTTACATTAACACAGAAACTGAACATTTCATACAGTGTTCTGTTTAGCTGGTGGTCTTAAACTGGTTGTCCTTACCTTGAATGATGGCTAGAAGAATGACGATGACAAAGAAGAAAGTGATGTCAAAAAGAATTCTGTACACCTCAAACGGATCACCATCTGCTGGCTCTATCTCATCACCTGTATAAAGGAGGAACAAACTCAGCTATAATACACAACTTACATGGCAAAGAGAGGTGTTAATGTATTAATGCAAGATAAATATATAAATTGATTTGTGTGTGGATCAGTAAATTTTGTAGTATCATACCAATTCCTCCTCCTGCTCTAACTCCAGTGTGTAAGTGGTACACAAAACACTAAAACAGAACAAGATATGATTTGAACGAATGGAGGAAAAAAGATTCAACTGTCCCTAGCAACTGAGAGATGATCATATAAAAATTGAATGCAAAGAAGGTATTTCTTCTATTTACCATTAGAAAAATAAAATAAAGTAAGACAATAATCTAATACGTACAGTTAGCATGTCATGGCACTTATAGTCAACAGAACCATCCTCTTCTTTGACGTAGAACTTTAAAAAGTTGAAGGCTATAACAGTGTAGATATAGACAACCACACTGGTCAACATCACTGTCAGCACCAGCTGTCAAGTAAAAAGGTCAATATTTACAGTTAGTCAATGTTCAGCAGCTGCTGTCAAAAACAGTCAATATTTGCAGTAAGTTGCAGTAAGCACCAGCTGTCAAGAGAATGGTCATTATTTACAATTTCAGTGAAGCAACTAAAGCAACTGATTTCTGACTTCACAAGTCAAATTGTGAAATTTAGTTACTGTAAAAGCACAAATATTTGTGGGTTAACAATTATCAACGAAATTAAATCCAACATAACTATATATTGAATAGAGTTACTGTCAAAACAACGAAATTAAATGTCCATGAAACTATTACGGATGACAAATCAACGAAATTTATCCCCACGTAAATTTGTGCTTCTACAGTAATCACATTCATACGTACCTGTTTTCCATTGTGGGTTACAGACTGCAGAATGGTTCTTAGTGTCTTGAAACCAATGGCAACATCCAATAAATGAGCAGCAAAGAAAAAGTAATTGAAATTTCCCATGGCAGAAAAGATGAAGTACCATGCTATGTAGAGGAAAGACTGGAAAAAGACATTCATCATCATTGCAAATGTATATCATTTGTACATGTACAGTATAAAATATACCTAGTGATAGTAAAGTAAAGTAAATTATTTATTATAGTGATACGTGTATTGTTACAATACAATATATTTTACAACAATAAACTTAGTTTATTACACCTAGCCCAAAGGACCTATATGTCACGAGTGACAATGTATACTTACATTGTCTGTGAAAATGACTCCCCATTTCCAAATCTGATACTGCCAGTCTACATTGAACAAGCTAAAGGAAGAAATACATGTACATCATCATCTAATAATCATAAGACAAAACAAGTTGCAAGACAACTCAGTAAAAATTTTTTGAAGGATGAACAACAATTTCAGGAACATGCATTCAGACATAAGAAATTTAAAATGTAACATTTCTAGGGAGTTGAAATATTATGTTTGACTTGACCACTTTAGTGAAGATTTAATATCTATAAAAAATTGAGAAACATGATTAACATCAAGTACATCTACCTAAATTTAGTATGGTAAATTTGAGTTATAACAAAGAAAGAAGCATAAAAAATTTGTAAAAGATAAATTTATGAGAAAAATTTCTTTGGCTGGATCATTACAAGCTGAAATAGGTTATTATCTTCACATTTAATTAATTGTATTTAGCATATCCTTAAATCTTAATTTCCATGCACATATTATTTTACTTACAAACTTGGGAAGAATCCTGAAGATTTGGTTTCTTCAATTTTGATTGAATCTTCTTTGTCCAGTAAGTTACTGATAGCTTCATAGTCATACTGTTCAGCATACCTAGCACAAGTACCTTTGAAAATTCACATTAAAAGTTTTGTAAATCTTAACAGCCATCATTCCTTGTGAAATAATTTCATGAGAACAGCTTAATTTTTTTAGTTTTTAGAGTACAAAATTTTACTGTTTACAGGTCAAAATCTTTCTTTCTTACTGAACAAGTATTTGTGAAAAATTTTTCTCATGATGATCGACCCTTAAATGAGTACAGCAATTTTAAGATTCTCTAGGAAAATTCTACCCATTTTTTTTCTTGTCTGCATAAATAAGCTCTTAGGCTCATTATAATAAAGCATTCTGCAGAAACAAGTCACCCTTAAAAGTGCTAACCTTCTTTTTAACAAACTTGTCCCAGTAGCTATCTGGGAAGGATTGTGTGTTGAGAACCAGTTTATCCCAGTGACCTTTGAGGTCATCTTCTCCTGGTTGTTCAGCTACCCATAATCCCTCAAACTCCAACTTCCTGGCAATCTCCTTCTCTCTCTTGAAGATGACTAGAGGCACTTTAAGGCAGTAGTAGGCAATCAGCATAGAAAATGAAACCAGAGAATGGACCACAGCCAGAAGTCGGGCAACAATCTGCATGTAGTTTTCTCCCTGCATTGTAACTACCTCGTCAAACTCTTCTTCTTCTGTCTGGTTCCCGTCTGACACCTCTTGTTCATGGGGCACCTTGTTGACCTTTTAATATCAAGAGACAGCAAAAATGACAAATCTGCACATGAGGATATAACGGGTAGTAATACATAGTATCAAATGTCAGAACTTTGAATATGTTTTTATCCCCCTGTGCAATAACAAATAAATCATTTTCCCTGTGATGAAAAGATTGCAATGTATAAACAAAACTTGCAAATTCATCCAAGCATTTACAGTCTGAGCTCTTAATTAAGTCAATATTGTACAAGAAAAGATTATTTAGATTAACCTTTCATTTAGAATTGTAGATTAAATATGTATCCTTTCATTTGGAGATTGTAGATTAAATCTGTATGGTATACATATATGACTCTCACCTTGTAGAAGAGCAGGAGGAAGTTGATAATAAAGGCAAGGAACAGGGCAACATACTTAAAGTTGTAGAAATTACGGGCAAACAGACTCTGTAAATACAAAATAAGAATTACAGTAACTGTTACATATCTATGTCATAAAAATAAGTTGGACCTGCTACAGACACTAGCTACAAAACCATGGTACGATCATGTTAGACAAGTTAAAGCCATGACGGGTGTATACAGCACAATCTAAGTAAACTAGTTTTATAAAGTAAATACAAGTATTAGGGAAAAAAATAAATTCTCTACATAATATGAAATTATAAATTGCTAGTATACAGTGCTCCAAGTTAAAGCTTTACTTTTGGAAAACAAAACACATGTATATTTCTTTGTGCTGTTAATTAATTTAGATAAAATTAAATCTTTATATACATTAATTATGCGAGAAAATGCACACCAACTAAAAAACTATATTACAGTATTTATTATAATCTTGCATACTGTAAACTAAAGCAAGTTACTGTTAATGTTTAAGATTATAAGAATCTTACTATTTTAAGTTCAGTTTTTAAACATAAATTCAGGGAAATAAATGTTTCAACATCTGTGAAAACCATGCATTTTTTAAAAAAAATCCTTAAATACACATACGTAACTTTTTTTCTTTAGCTTTCATGCCATTTTCTCAAAACATAAGCCAGTGTGTACCTCGAAAGTGTTTATTAAGTTCATGCTGAGTTCCAAAGACAGAATGCTACAACACTGAATCATGCATGAATTGAACATGGAAACTGAATAAAACACAATCACAGTTTTATTTCCAATCTTCTGCAATTTATCAGATTATCGTGTCCAATCCAAAACTCTAAAACTCTGATCCATGTACATTATAAAGGATAAAATTATCCCTTCACATTCTGAAACTGTTTCCCCTAAGCAAAAGAAACTGTCGTGACCCAGTGGCAATGTGCAGTGTACAAATATTGAACTTCATCAGCAGAAAAAGGATTAGTGAAGAGGAAAACTTCAGTGAAGGAACTAAGGCAGAATAATTTCATGTTTAGAAATCAATCTTTATTGTTCATTACCCCTATAGAAACTAACTTCTGTCCTAATACACTTAAATACTGAAAAGAAAAGAAAATTATATACTAATATCGAGAAACTGAATTTTCATATCAAGTCAAGATTTCCAAGATATACATGTATAATAATGATGAGCACATAACAGATTACCATATATATCTATAAATGTAATATTCCTGTTGAAGGGATACATAAAGTTCTATTCATATAAAAATAATGTTCACTAAAAGCTACAACATTTAAAGCTACTGTACATTAACATAACTCACAAGGACATATTTTCCATAATCAAATCCTTTAGTCTCATAGGGAACATCTTCCTCAGATTTGGATTTACTGAAACAAAGATATAGAATTGATTTTATAAGGAATGTGTTGATATATTAGGGATGGGTATCACCAAAAATTTCGTATCGCGATATATCATGATTTTTTCATCAAAATATCACGATAATATCATGATATTTTTACAAGCAATTTTTAAAAATTTGTCATTACTTTTCTTAAAAATATGCTAGAAAGACAAAATTTCACTTTTTAAAAATTTTTATGTACATAAAATTAATCATGTTTGGATGGTAAGATGCCGCTCTTTTCACCTTTAACAAAATTTTTTAGACTTTCTATAATTGTAATTTGAAAGATTGAACAAATAAATAATTTCTGGACTTAATAATAGGTACCTAAATACCGGTTTTAGGTCTCCGTATCACAATACGTATCACGTACGCGACAGAAAATTGTGATAAACCAATAAAATCGCACATCCCTACGATATATACCTCAATATTTCTTACTACATTAGTTGGTAGCTTTAAACTCCTTCCTCAATAACAATTTATAGATCTATGTTACGTAGATGAATTTTACTTCTAGCGACTATTTGTGTAACTATAAATACCTGTCAGCTGAGGTCCTGGGAGGGGGCATAGGTGGTGCTGGTGGGACAGGGGGTTCCTAAGAAAAAGAATACAACAGATGTACATGGTCATGTATATCAATGCCCCCATGAGGTATACTCCCATATTTTACTTCTTTTTACAAGAACAGCAATACTTTCATGTTTCTTGGATATTATTTCATATGAAAGATAAGACAGCTAGGAATGAAAATTCTGCCCCTGGAGACAACTGACCTGTGGGGTGACCTCTGTGGCTGGTTCTGTAGATGTGGTGGATTCTGGACTCTCTGTCCCGGTCTCTTGCTGGACAGCAGTAGGGGTAGAGCTGTAACAAATAAGAGGCAGTACATTTATCATACTGTCAAATCACTCATTTTTACAGGGGTTAAATTCTCATTGTTTTCATAGTACGAAGAGACCCAAAAATTCATATATAAATGTTAAATTCCATGCTGCCACATATTGGGTAATGTTTCTCCTTTAAACATGAAATTAAATCCCCTCCAAAAAATAATTTTTTTTTTCCAAAGCACAAAAATGTTTCAAATAAAAATTACAGTGTCTTTTAGAACCTTAATCTTATAGAAAATCTTGGATATAAAGCTAAATGTACATTTGTATATCTACTTACATTCCTTCTTCTGTGGGAACACCTGGAACCCCATTCAGTATAGGCTCTGTCTTCTGTTCCTCAGGGAGGGAGGGTGCTGGAAGAGCTAGGATTTCTGGCTGTTCTACGGTTTCTTTGTCTTGCTCACCTTTCATCATGTTCACCACAAATTTCAACAATGTCCTTTTAAATGATACGAAATAGACAATGCAATCCCAAAACATAGCAAAATAGATGAGTTGAGCAGGTACTTGTACATGTCCATATTACATTAATGTGCAAACTTAAACAGGTTGATTAAATTCAGGTCTATAGTAATGCTATGATCCAGAACTTACCAGAACACATGGAAAATGAATGTGAGGAGTGTGAAGGCCAGTTTGACACAGAGTTTGACCAGCGTCCAGATCACCTGGGGCCAGGTCATTCTCCTAAAGGCCTGGTAAGTCGTCTTCAGGTTTGTCCACGTGAAAAATGACAGGAACGTGGCCACGGCATTAGACAGGAAACGGTAGGTCATCTTCAGTGGCTCCAGCACTCTATTAATGACAAAGGTTAATAGTCAATTCATATGTATTTGTATCTCCCGCAGAACTTTACTTTGTATCAACTGCATGATGTGTACTGACAGAATATAATTTGTAATGGGAAGAAAAATTGATGATAATAATAACAGAGATGACGATGACCTACCCTCCTCCACTCTCCTCCTGGAGGCCCATCCCACTCCTCAGGGCCGCCATCCTCTGCTCCTCAGCACTAATACTGGTGGCATGCTGCATCTAAAGGTCACAATAACCACAGTGTTAACTTAACAATTAACAATGTCCCAAGTATATATACAATAAAGATTCAAATTTCATCAATGAAACACATATAGGAAATCATGGATTATATTCTAAATATGGAGAAATCTTACCTCAAAGATAGTGTCTTCACAGAAATTGACAAAGCTCTCCAGTTTCTCTTTGTCACCTCCTTCATTGACCACACTGTGCAGGAAGGACCTCTTGGATTCCTACATTGAATCATATACACAGTATTATAAAACATGTTGAGCATACATGAAATACCAAGCATGATATCACTATTGTTACAGCATAAGACTTGGAATGCTAAGGTTTGACCTTGATCTGAGGTTTCTCCCATTGGTCAATGTGAGATTGTTTGATTTCAAAGTAGACTCTCTCTATCTTGTTAGCACTGCCCATAATCTCTATCCTGCCCAGATAGGGTCCAAAGTAGTCCAGTACAGAACGGGCCTTCTCCAGGAACCTCTCCAATCTGTTAAAAAATATAAAACATCACAGTGTATCATGATCTTTCTCCAACTAAAGAGTCTAATACCTTGAGCTTAGCATGTGTGTCCAACATTATTCTGATCTTGTATAACTATAACTTCTTCATGATACAGTCTAACCAAGTATCAGGAAGTTCAAGTGTTTGGAATATCAGAGTTGAATAAAAAAAATTCATGACAAGGCAGAGGTCACAGAGTCACTTTTCAAAGGATGTTTATGATACCAAAGTCAAACATTATAAAAATAAGCATTGATTTTAATAACTATCATTCAAATGAGTATGAAATAAAACTGCCATAGACAGAAGGTAATGTTATCTACCTTGGGTCATTAGGCATGTGCTCTGATAGATTAGTGAGGAGGACAGCCATTGTGAAGCCGATGTCTTTGGCAGGATTGTGGAATCGGTCGGTGAACTCGTTAAAGTCCACCTTCCCGTCCTGGTTAGCGTCCACACACATCATGATGTACTCAATCTCCTCTCTGTAACAACATACAATATATAAATACAATATGAACATTATATACAATATATATACAATATAGAGTGTAACTATTACATATATGCGATTTTGAGGTTTGACTTAAATGTAATAAATAAATAATTATACATGTAATATATATTTTAGAAATTCTTGGCCATGTAAAAGCAAAATTTACATTATTCATTTCTTTTTTAAATATGATGATGAATTTTAACACATTTGCCTTGCTAGTCTACTTTTGTAAATTTTAAAAATCAGATATTAAAAAAGAAAACAGAAAATTCCATGCCCATATGTCTACAATCTAATTAAAATTATATTTTAGATCAGCTCCCATACTTGCTACAATAACATCTCACAACATCTCATAGAGTGTCACGTCAGAGGTCAAAATCTATCAACCAATCAAATCGTCACCTGCATTGTATTTGTTAAAGCGAATAAGTCTAGAGTTGTTCCGAATTTGACCTCTGGTGTGACCCTCTATGGGATGTTGTTAGATGTTAGTGTAACGAGTATGAGAGTGGATGTATCATCTAATTTTAATTAGATTGATATATCTATGGTGTAATACAGAAAAAGAACTTAAAATTCTTCAGCTACCAAGGAGCTAATATCAAATGTGTCAAGCCAGGCTAGATGTCCTATCATCATGAAAGAGGAGAGGTATCTAAAACCTCTCTAATAAAGAAAATTAATTTCATCAAAATTAAATATTTTACATAACCATCAATCAATGGGCACATGCTGACTTTACATTGCTAACCATTTACAGACATGATGAAAAAAAGGGATGAATAACTTCCATGCAAGTAAATAAACATGTTTAAATGCTGTTAAAATCTAGTACTTTTAGTTAGAATTGAAATCTGAAGATGTGTTTGCATTTTTTTTTTCTTTTGGACAAACACACCAAAAGACAATGAGCAGGGTTTTACATCAAAGACCGCATTTTCTCCAAGAAATCATGTTGGTAATCTATATTCTATTATTTAAATCTAGAAAGTCTTAACCTATGAACATGCCTAAAGAATTTGTAAAGTTTATGGTAATACAACCAATGAAGAGGTAGAACTAGTAAAAATGTGGATGCCTTTTTTTGTCATTTAGTAATGTTTGCTTGTTCCATAATCAGTATTGGCTAGATTCAAAAGGCAACTCAAGTTTTAAATTCTTGATTATTGTGTTGGAGGTAGTTTTTTTCTGAATGTTCTTTAACTACAGTAAAACACACTTATAGCAAACATGCTTATAATGAATTTAAGCTTATAGCAGTGATTCCCTTTGGTTCTAAGAAGTACTGATAACTAATCTTCCTGTATTTAACAAATTACATTAATTGTTAGTCCTTGGCACTTCACTATGAGCATCTTTTATTGTAAATTCATTCAGAAAGCTTTGTGTACTTCAGATTAACTGATGTACAGGTAATCATTGAGTTAAAATGATATTTAAGGAATCTCATTATGGCATATTATAAGTCTATGTGTTGAACAATTATTAACAGGACATGGGATATTGAATCTTGCTTAGTAATTTGATAAAGCATTACTGGCAATGAAACCACTCATCAAAAACAGATGGAAATGTTACGATCAAAACTTTAAAATGCACTTCAAATCTTGCAGTGCATGTGCAAAAATCTTAAACAAGGGGGTTTTCACACAGTGCCATACTCATTGTAAATCTTCATAGAATCTAAAGCCCTGCGGAACTCCTTAACGGATATCCAACCGTCACCATTCGTATCATATTCCTAAAATTCCATAACAAAGTCACAACACACACTAAAGCTAGAAGACATTGAGAGCAGGCTGCAAAAATCATAAAGTATAGTTAAGTCTGAAACACATAAACTAAATAATTCCTCATGTTGTCAGATGCTAAATGGTGGTGACATTTTTAGAGGGTCATAATATTCTTGCAGCCTGCTTTATAGGAGATGCACAAATATAAAAAGATGTCTAGAGTGCTAGCTGAATACGTTTGTGTTCTCACAACACGGGACACATTTGTTTACACACCGAGAATACATTTTCTGTGCCTCCATAGCACGTTTAAATTCTTTGGCTGAAATGTAGCCATCCTTATTGGCATCAAATTCCTATAATGTAACAGGAAATCATAATTTTACAGAGCCCAAAGCTTAATATAAAGGACTAAAATTATAAGGTAAAAGTACTTATAAAAGACACGAGACAAAATACATGTACAATTCACCAATATTTAAGATATTTTTCCCCAGATTATACCCATCTCTGCTAAAATCAAATTCATTTTCAAGAGACTCCCTGAAGAAAACATACATGTTGATGTATTTTACATGAAAAACATGGAAATGACAACTCTGACCTTTCACTGCTAAAAGTTTTTTAAGAATGTTCTTCATATGATTATGAATATCAAAATAAATAAATAAACAAATAAAAATCTGGCATTATTCTAGCAATGATAATATTTTTACTCTATGTTCCTTGGAAGTGAAAAACAAGTAAACAAAACAGATTACCAGGAAAGCTTCTGATGATGTCAGATCTTTCATTTTCAGGAAAATGTCAAAGAACTTCAAAATCATCTGGAAAAAAAATATGAAATTAAATTTTTACTTTTTTTTTTTTTGGAAGATTTCTTTCAAATAAAATGCTGCCAGACACATGCAGACACAAGAATAGGATTTAACTGATAAATGTTGTTGTATATGGTCTACTGAAACTAACAGCTATCTAATAAAATATCAAAAGATATTTATTTTTCAGAAATTTCCTTACCTCCACATTGGCCTGGGACTCTACAAGAGTGTCCACCATCTGTTTTCCTATTGGACCATTCATCACATTTCCTGATTAAAGAGAGAGTAGGCTTTACTATCCCAAATTCACAGAAAAAAGATTGTTTACTCAAAATAAATATTACTTATAATTTCCAATAGATTCCAATATCAATTCATTTTCAACACAATACTTATCTAATGCATGCATCTCTTTACTTCTGAGTATAACCAATGATATATTTCTCTTTTCTCTTACTTGCTGCTTTTCCATTTTGAACATACCTTCCAACATAGATAACAGCATAATCATCATTTCCTTCTGAAGTTTCATGAATTCTCTAAGCAGCTCCAGTTGTGTTGAATCCTTCAAAATCAAAGAAACATATATCACCAGTGACCACACTAGACACAATTCCATACTCAAAACAAGAGGCCCAAGGTCCTTGAATCGCTCTTCTGATAAATTGTACAATCTATCACTTCTATTAGAAGCCTCCAACTCTATTAGAATCATAAGACCCAAAATGCATCAACTTACAAAGTTTGATAATATTTAGCCAGTTAAGACTGAAGATATTATAATATGATTATAAAATACCATAAGTAGGTCACATTGACCTACCTTT